GGCTCACTGCTTACCTGCTGTGTGATCTTGAGTAAGTGTTTTGGCCTTTTTGGGCCTCAGTTTCCCCATCTGCAACTTGAGGCTGGCAAGATTGATGAAATAGATGGTAGATCTGTAATCACAGTCGGTCAGGCTGCGGTAACAGCTCTCAAGAGGTTCGGAGACTTTCGTCATGCCTGACACTTGCCACCCCAGGGGACAGGGTCTCCGTCCCACGTAGTCTCTTAGGTCTGGGACGGAAGTCCAGGAGGCTGTTCACGCCCGTAGCTGCACCGGCTGGAGCATTTGGCACCTACAGTTCCTGCAATGTCACTGCAGGAAAGAGAGGCTATAGGATCATGACCGTGCCTCTCACTCCCGCAGCGTGACAATGACACAGGTCTCCCGTGCACGTCTAACTGGCAGAAGCAGTCACAGGCCCGTGCAACTGCAGTGGTCTGGGAAGCGCTGCTCTGCGTGCGGGAACAAAGGGAAGCGGCTATGGGCACACGCCAGTCACGTCCTGTACAATCCCCATCTAAGCATTTGTTGAGTGCCTACTGCATGCCAGAAGCTGGAGTATGGGGATGAAACAGAACAAACTACAGATGTGGACTTAAAACAGATAAAGGAGGGCCGGGCGAGGGGGATCATGCCTGTAATCCTGGCACTCTGGGAGGCCGAGGCGGGAGATGGTTCAAGGTTTCAAGGTCAGGAGTTCAAAACCAGCCTGAGCAAGAGCGAGACCCTGTCTCTACTAAAAATAGAAAGAAATTAGGCCGGGTATGGTGGCTCACACCTGTAATCCCAGCTCTCTGGGAGGCTGAGGCGCGCGGATTGCTAGAGGGCAGGAGTTCAAAACCAGCCTGAGCAAGAGTGAGGCCGTCTCTACTATAAATAGAAAGAAACTAATTGGCCAACTAATGTATATAGAAAAAATTAGCCGGGCATGGTGGCGCATGCCTGTAGTCCCAGCTACTCGGGAGGCTGAGGCAGGAGGATCGCTTGAGCCCAGGAGTCTGAGGTTGCTGTGAGCGAGGCTGATGCCACCGCACTCACTCTAGCCTGGGCAACAGAGCCAGACTCTGTCTCAAAAAAATAAATACATACCTAAATAAAAATAAATAGGATTCACCTTCTGCCCGGCCGCCATGTTGAGACGCCCGGCCGCCATGTTGGCAGCCCGGCGCCATGTTGCAGGCCGAGTTTTGAATTTGAGTTTTCTGTCTACTAGTTCAGGTGGAAGTATGGTACAGTGGTTAATCCCAAGGGCGTTTGAGAAAGTAAACTTGACATGACACCTAATGAGCAAATCAGTAAAACTCTCTAAGCCTCATTGATCTCAGTCTGTGAAATGGGGCCATAACGGGTACCTTCTTCAAAGGGTTGTTGTGAGGATGGAATGCGATGAAATGATAAAGTCTAAGCCCTTGGCAAATGCAGTGTGTTGCATTATCATTTCCCTTTTATCACCGCTCCTGAGCGAACTGTGAGTTTCCACCTTTTCCCTTCCCACTTCCGCTCACTGGGGTCTTTTATAAGACAGTTTTTCCAATCAATTCCAGAGCCCCGAGACTCTTCGCTCCTTGGCTTCTCTTGGGGAAGATGTCAAAGTAATTTTTTTTTCCTTTGAAAACAGGACACGTGTTCTAGCTTTCTGTTCTTAGCCTTTCTCTGCCCAACATGCTTCCGTGGGCATCTCCCATCCGAGCAGCTAGCCTGGTGACAGGGCGCGGCGCTGCGGGCTCAAGCTGGGAGACACGAAGCAAAGCAGCTTCTTGCTCTGCCAGCATTCCAGAACTTACTGCAGGAGAAAACTCTCAAGGAAAACAAAGCTTGGTCTGCTAAGGTCACACATGTACCCCACTCGGGGAAGGGGCCTTTCCAAAGCTCCTCTTGCCTACTGGTAAAAACTCATTGCTCCTTTCTCTCAGGTGGGAATAGTCAGATAAATGATGATCCAGCCACTCCATAAAATAATATGTAGTCCCCAAAAAGGGTGAGGTACGGATGTAGGAATACTGAATGGGGACAATGCTGGTGACACAATTTTAAGTGTGGAAAAGCAACACATACACTATAATCCTCATTTTGTAAAAGAAATACATTTTAACCTGGATTCATATATATAATTATATATATGTGTATCTATGTATACAAACATACCGACACATGTACACCTGTATATTAAAAAAAAAAAAACACATGGTAGAACTACTCAAAATTTTTAACTCTGATCATTTCTTCCTTTGGGATCAAAGGGTAGGAAGAGGCTAGGTGCGGTGGCTCTCACCTGTAATCCTAGCACTCCGGGAGGCCAAAGTGGGTGGATCATTTGAGCTTAGGAGTTCGAGACCAGCCTGAGCAAGAGCGAGACCCCGTCTCTCCCCAAAATAGAAGTTAATTGGACAGCTAAAAATATACAGACAAAATTAGCTGGGCATGGTGGCGAATGCCTGTAGCCTCAGTTACTTGGGAGGCTGAGGCAGGAGGATTGTTTGCGCAGAGAGATATGGAGGTTTATAATTGAAACGAAGGCTCAGACGGCATGGCAAACTCACATCTAGGCTGGGCAACATGAAGACACATGTACATTCAAAAAAAAAAAAGGAAGGACAAGGACTTCACTAGTTTTATAATTATATCAAACCATACTTGTGAATTTAATGTCAATGACATAAAATAAAACTATTGTTAATTAACAATTAAAACAGTATAAAATAAAATAAATATATAAAATATACTAAAAAAAAAAAAAAAAAAAAGAATATAAATATTCATATATTTATATAATATATTAGAAATATATAAATATATTAATATATTCATGATACTATAATATATAATTACTATTACAATATATTATATACTAAACATACTAAAATATTATATATAAATATATTAATACATTAAAATTTACTATAAATTATTATAATATATTTAGTAACTATAAACTATAAATATTAAATATAATTGTATAAAATATAAATATTTATATAAATATATTCAAAATAATAAATATATTAAAAATAGATTTAAATATATTTCAAATAAATTAAATATGATTAAAAATAGATTAAAATATTCTCGAATATATATGACATATATTAACAATAATACATATATTAAATCTTTATAATAAATATATAAAAATATAATTTTTATAATATGACTTGAAATAATATATAAATATACTTAAATATAATATTACGCATATATTTATATATATAAACATATTATATATAAATATAAATATATAAATACATAAAAAAATAAGCTACCTGCCTCTTGACTGAGAACAATGTCAAGAACACCAACAAGGGTGGAGACCAGTATCAAGCACCTAAAGTGTATCATCTCATGGAACCCTGACGGCAGCTCTGCGAGGCAGGTGTAATTATCCCTGCATCATAGATGGGAAAAGGACAGGCCACCGAGTCGGCAGCGCAATGCACCAGGGAGGAGAGCGTGCAGCCCCTAACACGCAGTGTGCGCGCTGGGTGAATGCGGCGCCACCGTTGTCGCGAGCTCACCTGCTCGTCGAACTCGGGCCTCAGGGCGTCCTCAGTGAAGATGTGGAACTGTATCTTCCTGTGGCTGAACAGCACGGCCGATTTGAGCATGACCAGCGTCTCCTCCAGCCGGTCGCCGCAGGCCACCACGGCCAGGTGGATCCAGAGCTCGGGGGGCAGCGCTGCTTGGAAAGCCCTGGCTCCCCCGGGCCTCCTGCAAAGAGGAAAAGCAGGTCCCAGCTATTACTAAACTCAAAAAAAAAAACAACAAAAAAACCGAGCTAGTGAATGGTTAGAACATTTCAAAACATGAACAGGCACAATCTGTTATGTTTTATAAAGTGATAAGCATTTTGACAATTCTTCCTGCTTAGAGAAAAATACCATTTATTCCCATATTTGTTCTGGCAATGGCAGGATGAGTCACTGTTTGGACTGCTATAGGTGTCTGAGGCTTTTTGCTGCCAGCACTCAGCTGTCTGGTGCCTGCTGGCTGCCTGTGGCCCGTGTTTGGAAATCGTATTGCTAAACTTCGACAGCTGACACCAGGGACACGGAGCTCCCAACTGCACGGGCCATGGAAATTCGATTTGAATGCAACTTGAACAAGAGGAGGGTAGCTTGTGGCTTTCCCATGTGAAATGAGCAACATGATACTCCCATCATCTGGATGTTTTTAGGTTGTGGAGGAATGCATGACCACTGGACCAAAGGAAAGCCACGCAAGTCCGGGAGGTGAGCAGAGGAAACAGCCTAGTGCTCCCCCACTGCATCTCGGGAGAGTCTGGAAGAAACAGGTGCTAATCCTGACTGTCTCGCCAAAGACTGGTGAGGCGGTGGGTATGAAATGCATCGTCCACTACGGAAATTCATATTAATGAGAACCAGGCAGGAGGGGAGGCAGGTTAAAACTGAAACTGATCAAGGTAACATACACTGAGCCAACAGCTGAGAGGGGAATAGGGACCAAGAGTCCAGAGTCATCATCCAGCTATTTCCTAGTAATAAAAGATTTGTTCCAGACAAAGAGATGCAGCCAAGCCTCAAACGCACCACTGAGAGACATTTGCAGGCAAGTTGGAAGGAGCTGACCGTGGAAAAGTTGCCCTGAGACAAATGAAACTAATTTACTTGCACAAAAGATTTGGAGACCAGGGGAACTTGGATGTCAAATGCCACCTTCCTTCCAAAAACTTCGAGTCCAATCAGCCTGTTGCTCCATTATTCGCTGCTCGGTTGAATAATGGCAGCCTGGCTCCAGATTTCTTTCACCAGGAGGAAAGTCGAAGATGTGGGTGGAGCACTTTGGAAATCTTTCCAATCTGATTCCTTAAGAGCATGCTTAGCAGGAGCACGGCCTCATGGCACGGCTAGGTGCAGATCAGAGAGTTCCTTGCATTTCGCTTTCTTTGGGGATCACAGGAGAAGACAGTAGAGGTGTCCGAGGTATCCTGGAAGTTGTCCACTTCTCTCTATCCCCCTGCCATTATCTGGTGTGGCCACCATCTCCCCTCACCTCCCTCCCTGGGACAGCCCCCTGGGTGGTCCACCTGCCTCCAATCTTATCTTTAACCCCCAGCCCATGTTTTCTCCTTGTTGGTGCCAGAGCGCTATTCTTCTAAAATGCAACTAGGATTCTGCTATCTCCTTTTTTTTTTTTTTCCTTAGAGACGGGGTCTTGTTCTGTCGCCCCAGCCAGAGTGCAGTGGCGTCATCGCAGCTCACTGCAACCTCCAACTCCTGACCTCAAATGATCCTCCCGCGTCAGCCTCCCAGAGTGCTAGGATTACAGGCGTGAGCCACCACGCCTGGCCGTGTTATTCCCCTGATTAAAATCATGCAAGGGCTTCCCACTGCCCTCAAAATCAAGTTCAAACTGGTGATTATGGCTCCTGCTTATATCTATTGCAACTGCTCCCGGCTTCCCAGTCTAGATGGGCAACCACGCCTGCTCACAGTCATCGTCACACTTATATCCACACTCTCTGTTTCATTTCCAGTTCACAACACCATGCTGTGCTGGCTCCGGGTGTTGGCACACACATTGTGTGTGTGTCTGTCTGTCTCTCTTAGAAATGCTTTTCCTTGGGAGGCTGAGGCAGGAGGATTGCTCGAGGTCAGGAGTTCGAAACCAGCCTGAGCAAGAGCAAGACCTGTCTCTACTATAAATAGCAAGAAATTAATTGGCCAACTAATATATATAGATAATATTAGCTGGGCATGGTGGCGCATGCCTGTAGTCCCAGCTACTTGGGAGGCTGAGGCAGGAGGATAGTTTGAGCCCAGGAGTTTGAGGTTGCTGTGAGCTAGGCTGACGCCATGGCACTCACTCTAGCCTGGGCAACAAAGTGAGACTGTGTCTCAAAAAAAAAAAAAAAAAAAAATGGAAATGCTCTTCTTTGCCCTCTTTTCCTTGCTAACTCGAGCCTGTTTGTTATCGACAAATCTTTACGGAGTCAATACTATGTGCAGGCACCACGCTAGGAAGACAGCAGTAAACAACAACAACAAAAAGGTGCATGCCTCTGCAGAGGTCACCTTCTACAGGGGATAAGGAAAACACAGAAATAAATAATGGTCAAAGTAGATCGTCACTAAGCGACTTATACATAAAGTTAGACCGTGCTAAGAACGACAAAGGAAATACACAGTTGAGCGGGACGGGGACCAGGAGCGCGGGTGGCCTGGTGCGGTGTTATGCAGCCCCAACACGGGACAGGCCCAAGAGGAGCTCTGCCAGCCGCATGAAGGAGGGGAGGGGGAGCCACGTGCATTTCTGAGGTGAGGGCATTCCAGGCTGAGGGGATGGCAGAACAAAGGCACGAGGTCAAGGGTGTGCCTGGAGAATTCGAATCTCGTACCCCTGCCTACGAGACTCAAATGCCCACTCTCTTCCTTGGCTTCATGGGTGGCTTTTCACACCCACTAGTAAAGCCAACTTCCAATTAACTCATGTAAAGGAGTGGGAAGGGCATGTCAAAGACCATGCTAAAATGACAGTCGATTAAAGGAATCGCAGTCAAGACACTAGCCAAAATATGCTACAAAAGAGATTTTAATGGGAACTCATTTGCTTAAAATTATGCCCAATATTTAGATAAATACCTTTATTTAGATAAATACCAATACCACTATTTAGATATAAATACCAATATTTATTTAGATATTATATTTAGATATAAATACCAATATTTAGATATAAATACCAATATTTAGATATAAATACCAATATTTAGATATAAGTACCAATATTTAGATAAATACCAATATTTAGAATCTTACCCTTGAACCTAAGATTCAAAGGTACTAACACAGTAAATGAAATGGCTTAGATATCTTAAATATGAAAATCCTCTTCTGCCCCCAAACAGAACAACTCCACCTAGTTTAGCATTACATGCTGGGCTTCTGCACAAATATCAGTTTTTTGTTTGTTTCTTTGTTTGTTTTTTGGAGACAGAGTCTCACTCTGTTGCCCAGGCTAGAGTGCCGTGGCGTCAGCCTAGCTCACAGCAACCTCAGACTCCTGGGCTCAAGCGATCCTCCTGCCTCAGCCTCCCGAGTAGCTGGGACTACAGGCATGCGCCACCATGCCCGGCTAATTTTTTCTAAATATATTTTTAGTTGACCAGCTAATTTCTTTCTATTTTTAGTAGAGATGGGGGTCTCACTCGTGCTCAGGCTGGTCTCGAACTACTGATCTTGAGCGATCCCCCCCGCCTCGGCCTCCCAGACTGCTGCTAGGATTACAGGCGCGAGCCATGAAGCCGTAGCTGAATACAGTTTACTTGTAGTAAATCAGGGACGATAAATTCAAACCATAAAGAGACTCAATTTTATTTTCACATTGGCAGAAATTGCAATTTGCAGACTTCAGTGTGGACAGAGGACAGGAACGGCTCAGGCACTGCTGGGGGCAGGGTAAGCGTGGCCCCAGACACTTGAGAGCTGCACTTTACAGTGGACGTACACACCGTCCCTCATTTCTACCCCTTCGTATACAACCAGAAAATTCTCAAGCATTTGCACAAGACCCGTGCAAGAATGTTCACAGCAGCCCTGTTGACAACAATAAAAAATTGGAAATAAACTTCACAGCCTTGCAAAGAACTAAGTACATTCTGGCCGGCTGTGAGCCTCGTCTCCTAGCACTCTGGAGCGCTAGCGGAGGGATTGCTCAAGTCAGGGAGTTCGATCAACCAGCCTGAGCAATGAGCGAGACCCTGTCTCTACTATTAAATTAGAGAAATTAATTGGACACTTTAAAGACTATTAGGAAAAATTAGCGTGCGTGAGGTAGGCACAGCTGATAGTCCCAGCTACTCGGGAGGCTGAGGCAGGAGGATCGCTTGAGCCCAGGAGTTTGAGGTTGCTGTGAGCTAGGCTGACGCCATGGTATTCTAGCCCGGGCAACAGAGTGAGACTCTGTCTCCAAAAAAAAAAGAGAATACATTTGCTGTGTTTAAAGAGTGGAATATCATATAGCAGTGAAAAGGAATAAACCATCAGAAGGCCAAAGAGGGGGAAAAAAGCCATTGTAGGATAGCAACAGACTGATAGTATCTAAATGAAGCTTAAAAACAAGTGAAATAGCACCGTATGTGATTCACAGATAAAAGTAGCAAAAAGAAAATGCATGCATGAGAATGAAAAACATCAGACACAAGATAGTAGTTATTTCTGGAGACTTAACATTTTATTCCTTAAGCTGAGCGGTGAGTACACAGAAATTCATTTTGCTATTACCTGTATTTTTTCTGTCCCCAAACTATTTGACAAATACTTTTTTTTTTTTTAATTTAAAAAAGTGTCCCTACAGGACAGCAGGCCAGCTTATTTCTTCTCTGCAGGCCTCCGCGATTTGGGCCCGCACAGCGCAAAAGAGCAGGCACTGGGCACTGCAGTCCTTCATGGTGTCTGGTGACAGGTGCTAAGAAAGAAAAAGCAAAGCCTCTCCTGGTACAGGTCAAGTACCAGTGGTTTGGACTTAATGAGAGTCCTTTGTGGGCCTCCCTCGTTCTCTCACATTACACGAAAAAAAATCTCAGGCTTTGGCCGGGCGCGGTGGCTCACGCCTGTAATCCTAGCTCTTGGGAGGCCGAGGCGGGCGGATTGCTCAAGGTCAGGAGTTCAAAACCAGCCTGACCAAGAGCGAGACCCCGTCTAGAAATTAATTGGACAACTAAAAATATATAGAAAAAATTAGCCGGGCGTGGTGGCGCATGCCTGTAGTCCCAGCTACTCGGGAGGCTGAGGCAGGAAGATCGCTTGAGCCCAGGAGTTTGAGGTTGCTGTGAGCTAGGCTGACGCCATGGTATTCTAGCCGGGCAACAGCGTGAGACTCTGTCTCCAAAAAAACCCCTCAAAAAACCCAGAGAATATATTTGCTGTGTTTGAAGAGTGGAATACCATATAGCAGTGAAAAAGAATAAACCATCAGAAGGCCAAAGGGGGAAAAAGCCATTGTAGGATAGCAACAGACTGATAGTATCCAAATGAAGCTTAAAAATAAGTGAAATAGCACCGTATGTGATTCACAGATAAAAGTAGCAAAAAGAAAATGCATGCGTGAGAATGAAAAACATCAAACACAAGATAGTAGTTATTTCTGGAGACTTAACATTTTATTCCTTAAGCTGAGCGGTGAGTACACAGAAATTCATTTTGTTATTACCTGTATTTTTTCTGTCCCCAAACTATTTGACAAATACTTTTTTTTTTTTTAAATTTAAAAAAGCGTCCCCTCCCTACAGGACAGCAGGCCACCTTATTCTCTGCAGGCCTCCGCGATTTGGGCCCGCACAGCGCAAAAGAGCAGGCGCTGGGCACTGCAGTCCTTCATGGTGTCTGGTGACAGGTGCTAAGAAAGAAAAAGCAAAGCCTCTCCTGGTGCAGGTCAAGTACCAGTGGTTTGGACTTAATGAGAGTCCTTTGTGGGCCTCCCTCGTTCTCTCACATTACACGAAAAAAAATCTCAGGCTTCGGGTCATGAGCGTGAAGTGTCGTGTGGTCACAGTGAGTAATAAAGTCTGAGGGCAGCGGCATGGCGTGTCTTTCACCAGCCCCTACCCGTGGCACCCTCGGCGCCTCTCAGATGTGACCCGAGACTGCCTGGATCGAGAGGAGCCCGGTCTGGGGACCCAGGACTTCTAAACCCCTTGATCCCTGGGTTTGGGCGGGGAAGGAGTGGTAGAGAATTCTAGCACTATTCTGACCAACGGTTAACTACGTTCTTATTTACACTTTATAAAGGGGAACTGGGGTGCACATCGGCTGTTCAGGATTTTTTTTTTTTTTTTTTTTTTTTTTTCCCAGGCTAGAGTGAGTGCCGTGGCGTCAGCCTAGCTCACAGCAACCTCAAACTCCTGGGCTCAAGTGATCCTCCTGCCTCAGCCTCCCCAGTAGCTGGGACTACAGGCACGCGCCACCATGCCCGGCTAATTTTTAATATATATATATATTAGTTGGCCAATTAATTTCTTTCTATTTATAGTAGAGACGGGGTCTTGCTCTTGCTCAGGCTGGTTTCGAACTCCTGACCTCGAGCAATCCACCCGCCTCAGCCTCCCAGAGTGCTAGGATTACAGGCGTGAGCCACCACGCCCAGCTTGTTCAGGATTTTTAAAGACCTGTCTCTAAGGCTGG